GGCCATAATCCTTTGTAAAGTGCAATATATCCCTCAGTCTTCACGATTTTATGAATGCAGTGGAAAAGTCCTGATGTATTGAAAGTCTGAAATTTTTAGAAATTGGTTAGATTTGACAATTTGTCAGCAGGAAATCATGTGAAAAGAACTCACCTGACCAAAACCTATTCGTCCATTATCGAAACCTGTCACCTGCAGTCTCTTCTTGGCTAGATCAAAAGGATATATGGCAGTCTTTGATATTGCACCAGCAATAGCTCCCATCAAAAGGCTGTGGTGAAATGCTGGTTTTTTATTTTCTGACAATGTCAACGATTAATATTTTTTTGCAGCATATAATGTATGACAAAATGTTTCATTTACATACCTTTCGTAGAAAAATATGCCAGCCTAGTGAGAGCAGTGTAACTAGCAAACTGTATTCCTGAATGAGGAGCCATTTGAATTAGTACTGGAGCCAGACCCTGAAATAAGCCTTTTGGTCCTTCCCTCCTGAGAATCTCTCTTACAGCATGACTCATACTTACATAGACCTAATGAAGTCACAGAAAGTTGAAAGTGAATGACATTGTTTTCTTCAGAAGCATGAACTACGAAGACAAAACCAACCTTTGGCTCTCCCTGTGCTACCAATCTTGTACGAACTATGTCAAAAGGAAAGGAAATGAAACTAGCAAAGACACCAGCTGCACCACCACAAAAAAAATGCACCAAAGGGCGATGCTGACTTCCACGCAATTCAGGAACAAGCTGCCAGATTTCCCGGGTGAGGACTTCAAAGCAAGTTGCCTAAGAAAACAGAAAAATTGCTAAATTGCAAGATGATACCTAGAGCCTGTCTGGTGTGTTTTGAAGAAATTTGTGTACCTGAGCAACCCCATATAGAATAGACAGAACTTGAGCAGGTACGTGCCCTTTCCATAATGCTCTCACGCCTTCTTCATGAATTATTTGTCTAAAAGCCTGAGTGACACCCCAATACTTTGCGCCTGGAAGCTGTTTGATGGGCTCGACTTGCAGCTGTGATTAAAAAATCATATACCATTAGAAATAGAAGAAAAATATAAGGAGACAATGAAAACAATTTTTATGAAGTCTTACCTGAAATCGAATTTTAATGACATCCAGGGGTTGACTTATAGCCCTTGTCAGACCTCCTGCTGCAGCACCAGCCCCAGCATACTCAGTATCAGTCAAACGTTTCTGAGCATGTTCATCAAAGCCAACCATTGCGCGTCCTGGTAGCACAGCATAAAGAGAGAGAAAATTCTTTACAAATTTACAAAAATTATTGAGAATAGGTGTCGCGTCTTAAACAACTTGAAACAACTGTGTTTCTGACAACCGTAGACGACATAAACAGCAACAAATATTTAGGTTAATCAAAGGTTAAAATCGTAACAACTTACGTTATCGTTGAATCTCTACTTTCGTGGATGTATTTCAAAATAGAGCTCATAATTAAAGAATCAATTTCTATCGTTTAGAGGCATTATTTCCCTTCTTATTCCAAACTTAAGTGAAATTTAGTTTGGGGGAGCGGGCTGAGCGAGGCAGACGACACGACTATTGGGTGAATAATCCCTTGAGAAGTTATATGCAGGCTCTGGACGCAACCCGCTGACATTTGAAATTCTGGCTGTATCAATAACACTGTTTTCCGCTGTAGAGAAGTGAGGTTGTTTCTTTCAATGCCGACTCTTGTGTTCCTTCCATCCTTTATTTCAAGTTAATAAACCAATAAGCTGTATCTGTTCCGGCTAACAGGCGGGGTGGCGCGGTTTTACGCCCGGCGGTGTGCTGTGGGTTGCCTACACAGAGTTTTGTACAGCTGATTGCCTATCTCTCATGCGGCTTTCTACGCTGACAGGGTGGGTGACTGCCCCAGGCCGCCCCTCCCTTTAAAACTGCAGGAGCTGAGAGAGAGTACTACATATATTCTTCTGCCTTTGTGCCTTACCTACCTACAATTGGAAACCAACACCAGGCGACCAGGCGTTTTGTTAAGGGGGAGGGGGGGGGTTGTCACTTCCCCCTTTCTCTGGATCCGTATCTGCTTATTCCTTCAGGTTTGCCGCTTAGGGAACTTCAGATGTCGACCACTAGCAGAGCCTCCGTTGCCGCTTTACGCATCCTAATGACGGCAAGGTGGACCTCGGGTGCAAAGGCCTTCCGCACCTGCCAGGCGGTTAGAATCTCGGGAGTCTACTCCGTTTGCTAGTCACAAAGCCGGCACCCCGCGCCCGCGTTGTTGCTCCTTTTATTTTCTCCTCTTCACCCGCATAAAATATTGGAAAGTAAACACCAAGCGAACCGGGTGACCTTGAAGACCGAAGGCTCGTAGGTAAAGGCTGCCTACACATGATGACATTACGGTAACTCAATTATCAGTAAAAGTGTTGTGAATTTAATCGTAAGAAAGTAAGGAAACTATATTTATTGCCTAACTCACGATCCGTATGGCTCAAATTGATGAAATGGAAACATATACTATTGTTTTAGTATCTGTTCTTTAATAATGTTTTGATGCATGGGATAGAGGTGAGCTGTACGATACAGCACGATACAGCCCACAGCGACCACGTCCGCGATATCTACATTTGCATTCCCCCGCATTCCCCCCCGTTGCAGGGGGGAGGGTGGGGGACGGGGGCTCGCCCAGGACTCGCTCTCTGATTGGTTAATCGACCTTGGCAAGTTGCCCAAGCAGAGTCCGGAACTTGTTTACTTCGAGCTTAGGCTGGTTTTGTTTGTCACGGTATATCGGGTCTTCTGGTATAATCTGATAGTGTCGCAGAGACTATCTCACTGCTGGCGTTAAAAGCTGTAGACCAGTTATGCCACATACTTTGCCACAACAGGGCGTATTTTGAACCGGCTACGTTGGCTGGCTCGTCTGTCTCTGAAACATCATGGCACCAGTGTGGAGTCTTGCTAGCTCTTACTTGCTAAAAAGATCGCTTTGTCAGTCGAAAGTCACTCCACAAACATTATTTACATCATGTAAGGTAAGTATTTATCATGAATTCCGTTTATGTCGTTCAATGAATAGTGCGCCCTTCACGACTTTTGTGTGTAGTGTAGGTTAGGTTTCCTCCCACACACATTTTAAATGAGAGTTACAATGTATATTTAATGACTAAACTCGAGTACTACTGCTACTCAACAAATTTTAGGCCTTTAATAAATCTTTGATCAATTTAAAGTCATAAGTTTGAATAATAACAAACTTCCTCCCCATCGGGATACAAAGTGTACTTACCGTAATATCATCATTATCATGATCACCAGAGTTCCTCTTCATTAAACATATGGGGGAAATAAGAGAACCTTGATGTCAGCTTTTTTTTTTTGAAATTTGTGAGTCTCTTAAGGATCTAAATTTTGTGGCATAGCAAAGCAATCACCCTAAAAATGTAAGTGGTCTCATGCAAGTATGTTAAATAAAGGAAACCTCTGTAACGATATCTTGGAGTTCTTTTCAAGGACAACTTTCTCGTAATTATTGCCTTTGGCGTAGATACTTTCTGGCCAGTTAAGTGCATAGTACCTAAAAGTTCTGGTGACAGTCACAGTTTTCTATTTAAATATTCCTATCTCACATTGAAAAATAGACATTTAGTTTTATTCAAAAAAGTACCATTACGTTTTGTTTGTCAGCTCAGCCTTTCTTACTTTTTGCTGTTAACAATCTGGTTCTTCAGTTTTGTAAAAAATTGTTTATTATTTTTTCAGATTTTATCATGTTCATTTTCAAATTCGTCTTTGCTCAGAGGTAGTAAAGTGTACAGTTCCGCTCAAGAAGCTGTCAAAGACATTCAAGATGGATCAAAACTGCTTGTGGGTGGTAAGCTAAAATTATGTTGCATTATAGTTTGATTTTGAGTTACACCTACATATTTGTATCTTACTTAAATTCAGACATTTTTACCTTGCAGGATTTGGCTTGTGCGGTATACCAGAAAACTTAATACAAGCTCTACTAGATTCTGGATCCAAAGACCTGACAGTTGTCAGCAACAACGCTGGTGTTGACAACTTTGGCCTTGGTCTCCTTCTTAAATCTCACAGAATCAAACGAATGATAGCTTCATATGTTGGTGAAAATGCGGAGTTTGAACGTCAATTTTTATCAGGAGAACTAGAGGTTGAACTTACTCCTCAGGTAAAATGGCACCATGTGATTTTTAAAATTCTATTTGCAAGTTTGTGTATGAAACCAGGGATTTCATATCTATAGGGAACATTAGCAGAGCGTATTCGAGCTGGTGGTGCAGGGATTCCTGCTTTTTATACTCCAACTGCATTTGGAACTTTAGTACATGAAGGAGGAGCTCCAATTAAGTATGATGGAAATGGAAAGGTTGCCATTGCCAGTGAGCCCCGTCAGGCAGCTAACTTCAATGGAAAGGATTTTATAATGGAAGAGGCCATTACTGGTGACTATGCCCTAGTAAAGGCCTGGAAAGCTGATGAAGATGGGAATTTAGTTTTTAGGTCAGTATTTATAGTTCTTAGATTAAACAAATATGCATATTTTGGTCATAGTTAAAGTGTTGTATAGATGTCATCAATACACCCAGAAGTCTCATCAATTTAATTTTTGTAAAAATCGCAGGAAATCGTCCCGAAATTTTAATCCTGTGATGTGCCGTGCTGCCAAAATTGGAATTGTAGAGGTTGAAGAAATTGTTCCTGTTGGCCAATTACAACCAGATGAGATTCATCTTCCGGGAGTTTTTGTTAAACGAATTGTTAAAGGAGAAAAATATGAAAAGAGAATAGAGGTAATGTTATTAATGATTCACCCATCCTTCTATTATTATTGCTCAAAACTTAACCTTAATCTTGGTTTACAGAGAGTTACTGTACAAAAGCCAAAATCTAAATCTGGTTTAGCTCAGACACCAGCTGCAGCTCTCCGAGAACGTATTATTCGGAGAGCAGCATGTGAATTTACTGATGGAATGTATGGTATCCTTTGATTGGATTAATTTTTTTTATATGTGTGGAATTGCTTTCGCCTTAAAAACATTAAAACTCTATGTGTAGCAAAACAAATTCCTTAACTGCTTTTTACAGCAAATTTAGGAATTGGTATGCCAATGCTGGCAGCTAATATGATTCCTCCCGGTATGCGTGTTACACTTCAAAGTGAAAATGGTATTCTTGGTCTTGGTCCCTTCCCTTCCAAAGACCAGGTGGATCCAGATTTGATTAATGCAGGGAAAGAAACAGTCACAGTTCTTCCAGGGGCATCATATTTTAGCAGTGATGATAGTTTTGCCATGATCAGAGGGTATGTAAAGATAACATTTTACCCTTAACATCCATTTTTGTTTTTTGAAGCTTAATAATTAAATGTGGAGTCGTACTGTTTTTCTCTTACCTGCAGAGGTCACATTAGCTTGACGATGCTAGGAGCAATGCAAGTGTCACAATATGGTGATCTTGCTAATTGGATGATCCCTGTAAGTGCACAGCATACCTAGTTATGGGAGCGGTTAAGTATGCTTTCTTTCAATTATCCTCTACTATTGTTATTATTTTGCAGGGTAAGATGGTGAAAGGTATGGGAGGAGCCATGGATCTTGTTTCAGCCAGTGGAACTAAAGTGGTTGTCTGCATGGAACATACTAGCAAATCTGGTGAACATAAAATTTTGCCTCAGTGTGATCTTCCCTTAACCGGCCGAAATTGTGTTGATCTCATCATTACAGAAAAGGTTAGACCTCATTTCCAGGTTTGTTTGATAAAAAGCTCTGTCATCAATATAAAATGGTATTTTTCTTTGTAGGCTGTCTTCTCTGTGGACCGTGAAGCAGGACTTACATTAATTGAAGTAGCAGAGGGCGTCGAAGTACCAGATATTATTGCCTCCACGGGTTGTGATTTTGCTGTTGCTGAAGAACTGAAACCTATGCAACAAGTAGAAGTTCCTGAAAAAGCCACTTAAATTAGAATTTTCTTGATTTAATTTTTGATTTACTGACTTACTTTCCAAGGACATTAGTAATCTCACCTCAAAGAATTGCATAGAATTACTTTTATTAGGATACTTCTTTTAAGTTCCCAGCTTACTGATCATGAGTCTGGCGTAAGCCTGGCAATGTGTACTTTTTACTTCAGACTTACATGACGTTTCACAGAGTACTAAACCAACCTGTATGTGTACTTCTAATTGGTATCCAAAACTGTGAAACTGGCCTTTGCAGTTGTGGCTTTAAAGGTGTTGGATATTTTATTTTTGCAGTGTGTATAAACTTTTGCTGCCAGATTACTGTACAGATGTAAATCATAATGAATTTGTATATATTTTTACAGCTATGGTTTTAATATTTTCCTTCTGACCTTTTTTCACAAGTGGCATCTGAGCGTGTATTGGAAATACCTGGAAATATTTAGATGCCATTCAAAGTGGGTTGTCAATGGTTAAATAATTTATTTTACTTAGAATGCTTCCTATTTACAATAATATCAGTTTTCATCACTTATGTAGAATAGCTATTTACTCCCTAAATTTAGCTTTAATAAATGCCGGAAGAGGTACAAGATATAGTAGACAATTTACCACTGTCAAGCCCAAGGCAAACGCAAATGTAACACCCATATTGAAGTCTAATTCAAGGAATGCAGTGAGAGTGGCTGAATCTTCAGCATTTTCTCTTCCAAATCGCTCTGCTAAAAATGCCCATCCGTCAGCATACCGGCAACCAAAGCTTGCAGATGCTGCGGAGAGGGATTCCTGGGTTTGGATTGTGCCAGGAGCAAGCGAGCAATTTGTCATAGAGTCACGCGCTAGACCACTGTAATGTGGGTGGCTGAAAATTTGTCGATGAATGTATGCTGCAGCATATCTAGGTTGACTTGCATATGTAATGTAGAGCAACCACTCCGACAGTCCACGAATTGATCTGCAGACAACAAAAAAAGTTTAGGATACTAACTATGTTTCAGGGGTCGAGATGTCAAGCCAATTTGTGCTTACCTTAGTACGCCACTCGACAAAACAAGACCAAGGGCACTAAGGGTAATACTAGCCACTGCCGCTGTGAAGGAATGCTTTACTACAACGAGTAAAGCAACAGTCTGCTGCTCACCCAGAGTGTAGCAGCCCCACATGATGCAGCCCAGCTTCACCCAATCCCAAGGGTCAGAGAGTCCAGACATTCTGAAATCAGGTAATTTTGCTATACAGAACGTGTTCTGCCCTGATACAGGGTAGCCGCTGTGCCCTGGAGGAAATATGTATACAGGGTGGTCCACAGACCCCTTCCTTTATTTTGCTTATACTGTACCGCATGCAGGCGTGCGGGCGGGCTTGCCTATCGTCGCTCACTACGGCGCCTTATGGCCCCGTGCGAGTATGCAACCCGGTCGCACGCCTGCATCCGGTACAGTATAAGCAAAATAAAGGAAGGGGTCTGTGGACCACCCTGTATACGTACTAGCCCGTATACAGACGTGTCGCGGGTTGCCTACTCGCACCAGGCCTTAAAACGAATAGGCAAATCCGTTCGCACCCTTGCATGCGGTCTAGTATACGCATTTGCTCCAACGTGGCTGGGCACAGTGCCCACCCTGTGGTTATGGAGATTAAATAGCTCAGGGAAACTCACTCAAACGCCACTCTTGACCCAGCTATCACAGACAGGATGGAAAATGGCAAAGAAAACAGGAAGTAACTTAGCAGGAAAAGAGGTCCGGAGTACAAGCCCTCCTGTGCCTCTTGATAGTATCTATTTCGATGAGCAGGGACTGAAAAGTACAATTTTAGAATATCACATATTCGTTTGTAGAAGTAAACGGCAGGCAGTGGAAGGAATCTTACATGTGAAGATGGTGTTGATGATGGAAATGAAATATGTTCCAGCAAGCATATTAAAAATGAGTCCGCTGCTCGTCACAAAAGTATGCTGGAATGCCTGGAAGCAAAGAGTGAATGAAATGTAGGCTGTTCTCGTACTGTGATAACTCGCATTTTTCCCGAACTTACCTTTTTGTCGTGATAAAAGAGCCACAAGACGCAGAAGTAGAGGGGGAGAAGGAGGAGCCGTGAAGCGAGTCGCCATATGGAACCTGCCTGCAAGTTGAAGGTGCTTGCCAGACACCTCCTGTGAGGACGAAAAGAAAATCACGTCACTGACATTCATAACAGAGGCTCAGGCGTCAAACCTATGTCGCGCATCAGCAGCTTACATGTTGAGGGCGAGGGCGACCCTGAGGGCAGACGGCCGGCCGAAGGCGGAGAGCGGCACCTTGCTGGCGCCCACCGTGGAGCCGGTCACGGGCGACAGGGTGAGCGTGCCGCCGAGGCCCACACCGCCGTCCCCGAGGCCCAGGACGGCGCCACTGGACGCCGACTTTCGGAACGGGGTGCCCTCCAGTTTGAACTTGTCCACGAGGGCGGCGATTTGGTGGTTCGACTCGATGAAGCGGTCCCTCGAGCGCCGGTCCACCGTGGAGAGGCAAACTACGCAAACACATAAGGTAACAGTGACGCTTGCGGCGCGGCCAGGGCGCGGCGGGCAGGCAACCTGAGGCGGAGGCGTCGCGTTACTCACGGTAGTACATGAGGGGGTTCTCCAGCTCGGGGCACGGGAAGCCGATGCCGCGGAAGTAGTCCAGCATGAAGCGCGTGGGCCCCGTGTACACCATGTCGCCCAGGCACAGGTAGGCCACGCGGTCCAGGAAGGGGAACACGTCCGAGCGCGGCTTCTCCATGGTCAGCACGACGGCGCGGCCGTACTTGCGCGCGTGGTTGGACAGGATGGACACGACCAGGTACGTGTTGAGCGGGTCCAGGTCCCAGGTGGGCTCGTCCAGCAGCAGCACCACCGGGTCCCGGATGAGCTGCAGGCCGATGCTGAGCCGGCGGTACTCGCTCGCCGTCAGCTGGCTGCGCGTCCTGTTGGCGACCTGCGTCAGCGCCAGGTCCGCCAGCACCTGCTTCACCCGCGAGCTCTTCATGTAGCGGGAGACCCTGGAGCCGATGGTGAGGCTGGCGGCGTAGTGCAGGGCCTGCTCGGCCGTCAGCCCCGGCAGCACGTCGCACTTGTGGCTGACGTAGGCGCAGCTCTGCTGGAACAGGCGCAGCGACATGGGCACGCCGTTGAGGAGGATCTGGCCGCGCGTGGGGCCCTGCTCGCGCCGCGCCACCACGTCCAGCAGGGCGCGCTTGCCGCTCCCCTTCGAGCCCAGGATGGCGAGCACCTCCCCGCCGTGCACCTCGAGGGAGACATCCTTGAGGATGACGCCCGTCTTGACACTCCCCAGCAGTCTCTGGACACACGTGCCGGGCTCCACCTACAACATGATTCGCGCAAGTTTGAACAAGAACGTCCACGAATTTAAAAGGGAGCAAACAGGTGAGTTGATCCTCTTTTTACCTGACCGGTGTGGAACACGTTGCACAGCTCCAGGGAGATCTCATTGGTGACCATGGCTGCGGTAGGACAGGTCCGCGATCCTCACCTGCGGACAGTGAGAACAAGTTCTGTAAGTCGAGTGGGCAGCGGCTGGCTGTGTGGCTGTCCAAGACAATGCAATGGGGGAAGTACTGTAGTGCGAAGGAGAGGCAGAAGGCACCTCTTTCCAAAATAAAAGCTGTCGGACCGGAGCTCGCCTTCCGCCGACTTACTGTTGACGGCGCGATCATAAAAGGCTGTCGCCTCGAGGTGGCCGACTGCCGACTGTCATTCGGTAAATGATTTGGACTCACGCCAACAGCAACACGCTCCACGCCGTCAATGACCACCCCACCAAATCAGCTGATCGCCTCCGACACCCTTCGACTGCTTGCCCGGCGGCCTGCGGCGCCCCTTCCCCCCACCAGGTACCTTGTGTCCGTCTCGCTGGGCTCGCGCTGCTCGCGCGGGCGCGGTGCGCGCGGCTCGGCGCGGCGGTGGCGCTCGTGACTCGCGTCGCGGAGGGCCGTGCCGCGGCCGTGCTCGCGATGGACCTGCCCCGGAGACTGTCGGTGGAACACTGGCGGCGTGGCGCGGCGTGGCGGGGCGGCCAGGTAGGCCCGGGGCAGGGGGGGCCGAGGGCCCCCTCCAGCCCCCCCGCTGCTCTCCGGTGCGGCGCGGTGCGGCGCGGCGCTGACTAGCGGACCGTACAGCAGCCCGGGCCGAGGCGGGGGGCTGGAGGGGGCAGTACCAACACAACGCCGTTTGCGTGATAGCCTTCCCTCCTCTGCGTTCAAGTCTCCGAGCGGCGCACAGCAGCCTCAGCCTCACGCCCCCGACTCGAGCGATGACTCGTGGTGTCAACGACCGGCACGGCCGGGCGGCCGGGGCAGCCTCGGCGTGCTAATCGATGCGCGGACACGGCGCGGACGTGCGCGTCCAGGGTGCGTCCTGCGTCCTGGTTTGCCTTAGGGCCTGCTGCTCGCGGACGGGGCGTCGCCACAGGCCGCGACGTGGTGGCCTGGCTCCGAGGGGGACCGCCGGGCCGGGCACCCGTTTCTGGGTGGTCCGCGCGGACGTATTTAGGCCCCGGACCGTCCAGCCCCGTGTCCTGGTACCCGCCGCCCCGGTACGCCACCCACCCACGACAGGACAGGCGCGGCCTGCTTGTCCCTTCCCTGTCGGCCCCACTGGGTCGGCTGTGACGAATAGGCGCTGCCCGACAGTAATTTGGCGGGGCGGGTGGGGCCGGCGTTTGGTGACGCTCCGGCGACTCCTTAGCGACGCCGCGGTGAACTCGACGGCCACCGCGGCGTCGCTAGGGCTTTGGTCGCGTTGATGAACTTTGCTGCTTCACCGCGGTTGTGGTCAATTTGGTGGGCCGCAGTGACGTCGGCCAGGCGGAGGCAGGTGGCAGGCGGAAGGTGGAGTGTGATCGCGGCGCGCGGGAGGGAGGGACGCCGTCGTCGCGCGCTCTGCCCTGCCCGGCCAGGACGCCGACGCCGCTGCACCGGCGACCACGGCGTTGTCGGGTCGGGCAGCTGAGGGATCTTGCCGGCGCGAGGTTGGCATCGCATTCCAGGTGGAGAGGAGGGGGCGGGTCGGAGGTGCGGTGAGTCAGGTGGGGAGGG